TTTAACGTTGTTTTAAGGACATTATCGGACATGCACTATGGAAGCCATTCTGAAGCAGCCAGGGGGGGATTCTGCTTCCACTTGTTTCCACTTAGTTGCCAAATGAAAGCCTGGCTCTAAAGTAATATACAACATAAAGGACTTAAACAAATTAAAGATATCAACATATGTACATTCTCAGGATGGATGCTTTTTGCATATAAACTTATTTTACCATTATCAAATGGTTTCTAGTCTTTTTTGTATAGGCATAACACATTTCTAAGCACATTAAACAACATGCAGAAAAGAACTTACTTTCTTTGAAAATATTTAGAAGGTTTGAGGCACTTAAGAAAAAAACATACATGGTACATGGCTAAAATGATAAAAAACACACAAAAACATGCTTATTACATTTAATAAAAAAAAAAATAAAAAAACACACAAAAACATGCTTATTACATTTAATTACTAAAATATCACCAATGAGTCTTTAAAACAATTCCCCTAATGTCTACTAGCTACTAGCTCTATTGTCTCCATAAATCAGACCTGGCTAAACAAGCTATGGTGTTTTTCCTTAACTATTCCCACAGGTGTAATCATAGAAAGTTGAGAATCATTACCTAAACATTATTTACATTTAATAAAATGTTATTTTATCAAATAATGTGTTTTTTACCTCTTTGATTTTAATTGTGAATTGATTAATTGTTCTAATATTAATTTCGACCTAATTCCAAACAGCAATATAAATGTTTGTACTTAAATCTAAAATCCATGCCTAACTGTGATAGCATCATCTTATTGGCTGTAGTTTTCAACCATTTTCCTTTCAAAAAGTGTACATAGTAACCTATTATAGCTGAGTTTCTTTAGTTTGGACAATAGTTTTTTCAGCCATGATATGCTGGATTGGAGTTAAATAATTTTTGTTGAAATATTCTTGTATTTTGAATCGCAGTTGTGGTAAATTTATCCCATATGTGTACAGAGCTAACTGAACACGATTTAATCACGAATCACACTTTCTTTTGTTATTTTAATAAAAAACATAAGTCACAACAGCATTTATTGGCATAACACCAAAAGAGTGCGATGTTGCAAAAGGTAAAGAACCAAAACAGCTTACAGAAAATCTTGGGAACAATTTATGCTTAACATATTTATTCAGTCTATTTTACTTTAACATTTCAGACACACATAAACCTCATGATACAGAGAATATACAGTAGAAATAATCCAGTGAAATATTACCTCCTCAAAGGGCTGTTTTTATGAATTTGAATTTTATTTTATATGCATTTTAATTCTTCTTGTATGTTTTTCTACGTGATATGGATGAAAGAAAAAAAATCTTACACAAAGCTTAGTACTTTTTATCAAAGAGGAAATATTAGGCTTGTTTCTTTTAAGAAATAAATAACACTTTTAACAGACTTACACTTCTGGACACTTGCCTAGATCGAAGATAAAAGAGATTGCAAGCGATGTGAAATTAACTTTTATCCATGAATTAAAAAAGAAATGCACATCATAAAAGTGAAGTAGGAATCCCTGATAAAAAAAAAAAAAAAAAAAAAGTTCATAATCATACATGAACCATATTTGTTCATGATTACTGAAATAGTCAATGATGACATGCAGTTTCCCTGCAATCAAATAGGATTTACACCGTTGCTCCTTGTCTTCGGCTCCAGGCGTTTGCAGCACTGACCTGCTCTGCTCCACATATCTGCGGCTCTCTGCCTGAACACAGACTGACCAGCTCCCAGGTTAAATGTGACGCCCAACATGTAGAAGCTGACGACAGTTGATCGTATGTGAGGATCTATTAAAGCTGACAGATTGTGCTGAGAAGCAGATGCATTCTCCCACCACAAAGCAAAGAAAAAATAGAGGAGACACTGAAGGATTCCAGTGATGGTGACCCTCAGCTGACTACTAAGCACTGCACTGGAAAGGGACTGTCCATTTATAACCATACGCCGGATGTGCCTTCCCAGGTACACTACTGTGATACCACTGGATGTCATCATCACAATAAAGGAGGTATAAAAGCGAGATTTCAGGAGGAAAATCCTAATGATATATATATGTAGAGGCTGGTGCAGAAAGTCCTCTGGAGGTATGAAAAGAGATGCATGTGTCCCAGTAGTTGTCATATTGAGTTCAGTGTTGTTAAGAACTAAAAACATCAAACTAAAATCCAGTAAGTTGCAAATGTTTTCTAAAAGCACAACAGAGTAGATGATTGGTTTGATATTTTTCTTAATCCAAGTAAAGAGGGCTCTTTGTCCAGGAACAATCTGTGTATAGTAGAAAAAGTTCAGCCAGGCAAAGGAGGAAACACTGACGGACAAACAGCCAAGTGAGATCACTAGACAAATCTGAGCAATGTTGTTTTCCTTAATCTCCTCAGAAAAAAATAATCCAAGGACTGTCAGTAGGTAAATATCAGTGCTGACAATCAATGAGCTCAAAAGAAGCTTCAGAGGTTGCTTGATCCTTTCTCCCTGGAGCGGACACACCACGCAGAAGATGTAAAATCCATTGCATGTAAAGTTAATTACCCCAAGAGGCACATTTATCAAAGTCCAGGTTAGGTAATTCATCTTTTTGTCATGTGCTCTATTTTTTTAATGTGTAGATCTTTTACTCTTTCTCTTCGGTGGAGACCCACACCAGCTGGAAAGATAGTGGAAAGATGCTATTTTGTGCAGAGTTAAAGTTCTGCAGCTTTTTGCATATCATGCAAATAGGTTTTGAAAATTTCAAATGACCTTTGAAAAACCATCCTTTTTGGATGCATTTATCATTCCATGTGTATTGTTATCTTTATCACCACCACTTCAGCATGCGTGATTTAGCAAAGGATTTATGTTCAGTATAAGCAATGATTGTTAAAATTGAATTCTGGTGCTTTTATTTTCTCCTGCTTTAGTAGATGGGCAAATAATGCGACAAAGAAATTAATCTGACATCAAAAACTATATATTCTCATCAATCAATTCATTTTTAAAATCAGAAATCAAGTTCTTTAAATTTATATTATTGCTATGCAAGTTATGCAAATATGATATTAAACACAAACCATGCGGAAATCACAGATGTTCTCTTTACCTTGAATGCAGTGCTACTTGCTTTATAAATGATGGTGATTTAAAATGAGGTAGAATAGATAACAATGATAGCAGTACAATCTCCGTGTTTTATAGATAGAAAAGATGTATTTGTTCTACTTTAAATAAAATGTTGATTTTTGTCCTCCAATAATGTAATTTGAAAAAACCTAAAACATAATGCAGCCACCTTAAGGTTTCACAGACGAAAAGCAAGTTGTCACAATCCACTGGAATTTGTGTTCAAAATTCTTATTTCTGTTAATATCTAATATCTATATAACCACTTTTTTAAGTTTTTTTTTGTATGTGTAGAGTTTTTGTTATTTCTTGTGTTCTGCTCTGAAAGTATTCAAATTGGTTTGGTAGTATTTATTTTCCTTTGGTTAGTACAAGAGTTTGTATTCTGGTTGAACTCCGTCTGTATTTTTTCTCATTTTTCTGACCCTTTGTCAGACACACCTTTAAAGTATGACGCTGACAAAGAAAATAAGGGTGATCCTCACTGAATTAACACTGAACAGACATAAAATGAAATTAAGAGGAATGAAAGAAAGCCCATGGTCAGGGTGGCTCCAATGGGGGCAAGATAATTCCTACCAGGATCCCATAGTTTTACAAAGGATAAATTAAATATTTGTCTGACTCTTATTAGCACACAGTATACAAGAACTTTAGAATTTCCATCACGGCATCAACATGAGAGGCCCAGTGGTGATCCGGCATACCTACCACTTTAAAAATATAGTAGTTATGCCATGTTACATGCAGATAAGGGCCTCTAGATCAGGCATCCCCAACCTTGGTCCTCGAGGCCCGCTGTCCTGCAGGTTTTAGAGGCTTTCTTGCTCCAGCACAGCTGATTTTAATTGAAAGCTGATTAACAGGCTTTTGGTCTACTGCAAGCATTATAATCAGCTGTGCTAAAGCAGGGAAAACTCTAAAACCTGCAGGACAGCAAGCCTCAAGAAGGGAGGTTGGGGATGCATGCTCTAGATGATTCACCAAAGCTCAACTTGTCAAGGCTCAGAAGTGAGGACCTAGAATTTGAAGAAGACAGGTCAGTGTGATTGACAAAAGTGTTTATTGACATACGTCAGATCTGCTACTCAGAAACAAAGGTCAAAGGCCAGATTCTCTGATTTTAGAGTTCAGACTGTGCCCAGAAGAAGGAGTAGAATCCAGCTGGTTGGTTAACAACTACTTGTGGTGAGCGCTGCCCAGAGAGTTCCAGGTGACGGTGTCAACAAGGGTAGTGAGGTTGCTTGAGGACCCAAAAGCAGAGATGAGTGAGGCAGATATGAGTTCTTGTAGATTCAATGCAATATGAGGCAAACATCCAAAATGCAAAAATACTGAGAACCAAAAAAACAGCAAACATCAGGGAAAACTCATGTGGAAAGCCAAAGGTGAGGAAGCAACTAACAATCAACAAGGAACCACCACTGAAGATCAGCATAGGGAGAGTATATATGGGATACAGAACAGAGACTGAGGTAATCAAATGATATGGAGCATGTGTGGATGTAAGTGAGTAGAAGGGAGCTAGGGGAAAAAGGACAGTCACAAGGGGTAACAGAGAGAGAAAGTAAAGACCAGCTTAAATATAACACAAATTGTAAAATAAACCAAAGATAAAAACAAAACAAAACAGAATTAATAGTAAAAACTGAAAACTAAAAACTCAAAGTCCCATTAGGGGAGAACCATAACAGTGGGAGCTTGAAGACTGCCAAACTAGTTGACGAGCAGACCCAAAAAAGGCGAAGGAAGGCAGGAGTTTCCAGAAAACAAAGCCCAAACCTGTGTCAAAGAGGTAAACAGGAGTACAGAGCAGAAGATCAGAGATCCGAAGAGAGGCCGAGGGGAAATCCAAGTCGAAGTCAGGAGACAGATCCACAAGCAGAAACCAACAGGAGCCCGAAGACAGATCAGGCAAACAAATCCGAAACAGGAACAGCAGGCTCAAAGGTCCGAAAGCAGAACTGGTTAGAATCAGGAAATCAGAACAACAACAACAGGTACACTAGAGAATTCTCACCAAAGGCTTGAATAATATTACACTGATGACTGAGAGCAAGCAGTTTAAACAAAGGCAGAGCAGATGAACAGTGATGAGAAACTGGGTGGAGCAAGGCAGGAGACTGAAATGAACCATTAAGCCAGTCATCAGTGCCAGGATCAAGACAACTAAATCATAGGGAATTTCAATTTCAAAATGAAAGCCCCTAAAAATCTCTATATTCAGTCACTTCAAACTAAGATGCTGTCAATCTTACTTCTAAACTATTAGTTTTCAGCGAATACCTCCTCTTCTGAAGCAAAGTAGAACACCCCCAAAGTTTCATCCACATATAATTTGTAATTTCAAAACTAAAGCCCCTGTAATAAAGACACTGAATCATTTTGATCAAAGTTGCCATCCCTATTGCTGTTAAACTATCTGTTTACAGTGAATGCTACCATTTTGAAATGATAGTAGAACATCTCTAAAGTAGATGTGACTCATGGCGTTACAGATCCTATTTGGAATTTCAAAATCAAAGCTCCACAAAACCTGCAGTGTTGTTCTGTTTGTGCTACGTTGCAGTCAACCATGATGCTACACTTTAGTTTTCAGTAAATGCTATCAATTCAAAATGACAGCTGAACACATCCAGATGTGACTGAACTATATTGCTGTTTGTTTGTTTGTTTGTTTTCAGTGAATGCTTGCATTTTGTAAGGATAACAGAACCCCTCCAGAGGTTTTATCCACAACTGAAGTTGAATTTCAGCTTTAGAATCTGTATGTTTTTTCATTCTTTTGTAAGTTGCTCCCAATCTTGCTGCTGAAATGTATGCTTTCAGTGAATGTTTTTAATTAAGACTGATAGAAAACCTCCAGATGTGCCTCAACAAGTTCCAACAACATCTGTTTTGGATTTTCAAAATGAAACCACAAGAAAATATGAGTTTATAGTTCTCTTTATCAAGTTTGCAAGGGTAAATTCAACATTGTCACGCTATGTAAATATTCTCATACACACAGAAATAAACTCAATCGCTGAAAACAAAACAGTGAACCCAGCCATCCAACTTCTTCCGCTTATCCCATCAGGGTCTTTTTGGAGCTGGTGCCTTTCTACTGCAAAAGGTGGTGAAGCCCCCCTGACAGATCGTCTGTCGCTTACAACCATGCACACTTACACACACAAACACACCTAAGGACAATTTATAATTAAGCTAGCCAATTAATTTATAATTAAGAAGCCAATTAAGCTAGCTGTCATGTTAAGCTAGTTGTTATGAGAGAACCCATGCATGGAAAGGGAGAACATGCAAACTCTGTGCAGAAAGATACCAGGACTCAAACCCTCAGGACTTTCTCTGCAACAGTGCTACACATTGTTCCACCATGCAGCCACTGTGAATCCAATATCAAGTGAATTAAATTATTAGGAACATTTACGATGTTTCTTTAAATTAAACTTTAGTTCCAACCAAAAAAAATAATAATAAAAAATGAAAATTTTCATCTAGACTCCCTCAGGACTTCCAGGACAGCTTCCTTTAACCCTCTACTCACTGCTCATGGAAGCACAACATGTATCACACTGTATCTGGAAAAAAAAAAAAAGTAACCTGAAATGTATATTACAGGAACAGGGAGTTCACTTTTGGTGTGTTTATATTATCTTTATTTTGTGAGTTTGGGTTATAAGATGATAACAAAACTGTGTTCCAAAGAGAGATTTTACCTGATTTGTAAAAGACTCACATTTGCAGTCAACCCCAGCAAAGACTGCTAAAAATCTAAATCAACTCAACCACAGGAGGCAACTAACTCAATGATATGTAATATAACAGAAAGTTGTCATGTTTAGAAAAGATTGACTCTGAATCGGACAGACAAATAGTGTAAGTGAGACTTATTGACCAAGTGCAGAAGCGTTCTAGGACTTTGGTCGGTCAAGTACCAAACTGGAAGGAAGAAAGACCCGAAGCCCTCCTCTAATTTTCCACTCCTTAAGAAAGGCTATAATTAGCGGTGATGGGGAACAGCTGCCTGTCACACCCTGCATAGTAGAGAGAGAGAGAAAACCTGGGTCTGTACCCAGACCTGAAAGTATGACAAAAGTATTACTTTATACATTGATTTGTAGCTGTACATATTTTTTTAGATATTTTTTTTCAAACACTCACATCACTTACCATATAATTTATAAATGCAATTAACTTTTTCTTTTTGGGATACTGGACCGCACAGAGGTGGGTAATCCCAGTCCAGAAAGAAAAACCATGTTGTTTTCCTTCATCCTATTCACATAACCAGGTGATTAGCTCCCTGTCTGTGTTGCAGAGGCGCTAATGGAGTGCTAGGTTTAAGACTTTAAGACCTCAAAGCATTTGATGCAGGTCCAGCAGATTCCGAAACAGCTTCTTCCCCACCACCATCAGACAGCTGAACTGTTGAAAAAACCCTAAATCATTTCACAGTCTGCATCACACTG